TCCACTCAAGGTCCCTCAACTGTCATGTTAAGACCTCTCAGAACTCCACAAAAGCTAGGTACAAATGGATGACTAAATAGGAACTGAATAAATACCTAACAGTTTGGCCAAAAATACCATATCATAATATGGTCATAATATGTCTGGGACACAGTATCTCCTTCCTAACTAGGAGTTAGGCCACATAGAGCTATTTGTTTATTTCATAAATGATTCTTGAAACAGAGTACATCTCTCATGATGTGCATGGAACTCATGATGCCAAGAAAACTCATGATTTGAGGAACAATCATAAACAATATTTTGCCTCTGCTGCTTTGATAAAATCATCAGAAACTCCCAGTCAGGTAAGTCTTAGAAATATTTTTAAGAAAATAAGGCTATCCTGAGAGGTTTCATATCCAACTTTCTTTTTCACAATGATATAAAGCATTAAATTGCATATGCTTATTGCCTATGTAGTGAAGGAGGATTAAAGAAGAGCACATAGCTTGTGCTTGATCTTTATAAGCCCAATAATGCCAACTTCAGCTTTCCTAGAATGTAAGAAAGGATTGATTGTGCACTACCACCTTTCATTTCTAGCAAGCAAGCTCTAACGCACAATGTGCATATTTCCTGTTGAGTTGGAACTGATGGAAATTCAGCACAGGACACTACAGGATATCCTCAACTATTCCAAACCTTCAGCTAAGGTTTTCCATCTATTATTCATATGCCAAATTGAAGTCCTGCTTCAATCTGCCATCCCATTAAGCTGCCAGAACAAGACTTCAGGTAAATGAAAAAAATATATCTATCTTGTTATAGCACTTCCCCAACTTCAGTACTAACTGAAGATGTTATCTTCCCTCATAATTCAAAGTGATTTTATCCTACCATCAACTGCAAAAAAACTATTTTAAATAATGTAGGAATACAGTATTAAATTTACTGTATAACATGTCTCCACAGTTTTTATTCTCTTCTGTGAATCCATGTCTTCCCACCTGGGCATTATCTGGAAGCTCAAAAAAAAACAAAACCACAAACCCAAACCCACAAAAAACCCCACCAAACCCCCACAACAACAGCCACCAAAAGTCTGTCCACCTGCCTGCTGGCAAGACCATGTAACAAATACTAAGACTCCAGTTCACAGTGCACCACATGACAAATATCAAATTTCCAGTTCACTGCACTAAAATCCTCCTGGTGCAACATGAGACTGAACTGCACATGAAGACTTGACAGTTCCCAAACAATTTTTTTCCCCATGAGTTTGTTTGCTGTAAAATAACACATAGAAGCCTATATAAATGGGTTAAGGACACCCTCAAGTCCTCACTTAAGGCATTTCAGATTAAGGACAGGAATATAAAGGGAGAGGCTTTACAGCAAAGTATCTTTTGACAAATTTTACAAATATAAGTGAAGTGCTCAGACACAGAAAAATCCTGGCAAGAGAAAGTGAATGCCAAAGAATCATTTAACCCCAAATCAATTACTACTTGTCAATTAACTGTACTTATAATCATATATGCGTCTCAGGCAGGTTTGTTTCCAGATAAGCAAACAGCAAAGCAAGTCATCATTAATTACATCAGGAAAGTCACAAACAGGGTTTACTGTCTTTAATGTGATGATGGAGGTTTAGGAAAAAACAGAAAGAAGAAAAGAAAACAAACTTACTTGTACGCCAATGTTGCACTAAAATGCTGTTGGATATACGCTTCCAAAACAGTGTTAAAGTGTTGAAACTTACGGTCTGCAATGAGTCCTATGATATATATCTAAAAAGACATGGACATAATTAGTATTTTTCATAAAGTCACATTTTAAATTTAAATATTAGTCTTCTGAAATATTTTTTTAGTAGTCCAGTATTTAGAGTTTTTAAAGAAATTTGCTTTTCACTCAAATAGTAATATTCCATCTGTTCTGTAGGGATTTTAAGATTTTAAGACTAATTCCCTGAAATAAACAACTTGATAGCTCATTCAAAATTATAGGGTTCTGTTCTTTGACAAATAAAATCCTTTGGTGGTGATTCTTACCAGTGCATCAAAGACAAGGATGTCATACTCATTACTCTGGGAATGTTCCATCATGATGTTAAACAGGGCATCCAGCGTATCTTGGAGAAACTATAGAACAACGCGAAATGGCAAATTGGCAACCAATTCAACTTGAAAATCTCACAAGTCAGTCTTCATATAGTAGACTTGGTTTCTCTCAAGTTAGAATTTTAAAGGCCTTCACTGAAACATCACTAACATCACTTAAATTTAGAAAACATTTCTGAGGATTTAGGCTCTAGTTTATTTAATTTTAAGAACCTACATCCTCAGGCAAGTGAGCAAGCAATGATATACGTTTAGCTCAAAGCTTATGGAAAAGCTAACAGAATTATATAAATGACATAACTATTTAAAACTGCGTTCCGTGTTCCTTAGTGATACAGATTAGGAGTTGCTATTTCCACATATACTTGAAGATTAAAAGCACACTTCATACATCTGTGGTCTCAAAGCCCATTTTAAAATCAAAGGAAAGTATCCCTGTGACTCGGGACTCAAATCTTTGTTTAGTTTAAAAACCCAAGCCTTTCAGCGGTGGGTTTGTTTTTTTTTTTAAAGTTCTCCTTCCTCCTTCTCTCCACAGAGGCATCTAATGCTTGTATTTAGAGCAACATAAATGCAATAGTGTTTGCACTTTCCAAAATATTACCACCTTTTTACTCATATTATACTCATTAAATTCACAAAGCACTTCATTGGGTATATAATACACTTTTTTGGTTAATATCAACACATAAATTAATATAAAAACTAAAGAGAAAGGAGTAGGACTTGTTTGTGATGTTTCAGATAGACAAAAGCAAACAGTTGAACAGAGACTGTGGAAACTATTTTACCATTACTGCCTTCCTATCCTATCAAGTTTTTAAATAAAATTTTATGTGCATGTTTAAAATTAGCATCTATCTGTGATATATACATAAGCACCTGGCCAAAGTAGCAATGACTCCAAATAATATTCTTGGTATTGCATTCCCCATTCATGCACAAAGTTTCAAGCAAAATAAAAGAACAGAAAGCAGAAAAGGATCCTAATAAATTAGTTACCAGTGAAAGCAGGCTGATTTCACTAGTAATCTCGCAAATCTTCACAGCCCAGCAGTAGCCAATACCAGACATGTTTGGGAACAACAGGTAGAAAAAAAGATGGCTAACGCTATGAGGAACTCTGTCCAGGTGCTTGCCTCCTTGGTCTCTCTAATGAAGAGCTTTGCTCACATCTTTTGCAAACTGTCCCTAACAAAGGCATTACACTGAGTGACACTCATAAAGAATCCTGTCAATTATACTTTCTTTTAATTTCTAGTTTACTGTAACTGACCCTCCAGTTCCTTTTTCTTTTTGAAACTGTGTAGCTTTTTTTCTGCCATGGTATGAAGGGACATGAAGAATAACTATTATTAGAAAAAGTATATAAAGATATACCTTCACAACTTCCTCTCCATCCACAATCTTCAGTTTTTCCAGGTTCTCCTGAAGCAGCTCTGGCTTCATACGCCACTTCAAGAGACCTAGTAAGCCCACTAATAGAAAATAAGTGGACAGACATTAAAGTTTAAAATGTGATTTATCATTTGTGCAAACATCTTCCTTCTAAAACTTCCATCTGTTTAGAAGATACATACCATTCTGAGTTAACTTTGTAGAACAAACAAGAGTTGAAATATAAAACGCATCTCGTGAGCTTACTGAGAGCCCCCCTACAATACTTGAGTTCCTGACTATGGTTGCTCCTTTATTTTCTATGTGTTGACGTGTAGAAGGTAGTGTCAAATAAGCACTAGCATCCTCCATTTTTTTACTGTCCCCCTGAAAAACAACATAGTTTATTACGCATTTTACACCACTGGATTTAAAATTAGGCTTATCTTGTACTTTCTACAAAAGTAAACAAAAGGTATGTTTCCATGGACTTCAATGCATGCATTAAAGGATAAAGAACATCCAAATCCCAGTGTAGCTTGTACAGGTAAACCAAGAGTCAATGTTAGCAAGAAAGGCTGCAATGAACATGGAGGCAAAACATCACATGGAAATTATAAAGGTATGTCTTTTAAAGTGTAGTAAGAAACTATGAGGAGTGACATCACTGGCAGAGTAAAAGCAAGAGCCAATTTCTCATTAAAATGTCAATAGCTATAGAACACAATAGTCTATTTAGCATCACCTTGAAGACTGTACACAAGATACAGACAATACGGTTACGATGTCCGCACACAATGTAAGAATAGAAAATGAAACTGAATAGGAAAAGAATAACAGTGCTATTTTAGTATGCCCACTATAACTTAACACCTGGACCTTTAAAATAGAAGATTCAGGGCATGGTAAGATTATATTTTAAATTGGACAATATGCTGCAGTAAGTGACTCAGATATCATGGAATTTATGCTTTTCAATAGAATGAACGGTACAAAAAACAGAGAGCTAACAGGTATCTTTCCCTCTTCTATTTCATCAAGTTGCATGCCATAACCCTCACAGATGTCTTTTTTTGTGTCTCAACTTTTGATTCATACCCCAGACAGGAAAGCAGCTTTTAGATAAAGACAATTAAAAAACCAAATCATACTCCTCAATGTTCAGAGAATATAATTTTTCTTTAACAAAACTACTTAAGAAAATTTCCCCAATGTGTTTGTGAGCTCTATCATTGAAAGCTACACCACCATGACAGATTTTACTCAATTGCAGACCTTTATTCTACAATTGCGCATAAACAAGGAGTTACAAAACCCATAATCTAGAATGGTTTTCTAAGATTTTGGGTTTGTATCTTGTTCTGTGACTGTAGGTGTGCTGTCTCTACTACCTATCAAACAAAAAGCAAGGTTAAAAATTGACTATGAAGAGACCTCGCCAGACAAAAGGCAAAATCCTTATGCAGCAAAACTGACAGGATTACTAACTTTTGTGATTGTATCAAGCTTGCCAAATAATTACTTGTCAGAATTTCTGGAACCAGAAGAGAATCTTGACTTCCTCTTTTCGAGAAAAGTTAAGACAACAATTGGAAAAGACTTGAAACTTTGATCCAAAAGTCTCTCAAAAAGATTCAGTGCCTGAAGGCAGTGAAAATAAAGTACACTGTTCAAACTTTGCAGCTCTGAAATTACTTATTTTGAGAGGCCAGATGTACAACTGTTTGAAACACTTACAGCTTACCATTACTGTTTTTAATACTAGAATAGGCAAACATATGTCAGAAAATCTGTCTGTTTCTCCCAAACATAAACTAGGTCAACTCTGTTTAGCATTTGTCATTTATGCTGTCACTTAAGGAAAAATTACCAGGTTGATGCAAGAACAAATTAGATGGAATTTCATAACCAACATTAACCACAGTCATACAATGTGATCATTACTCTCCTTCAGGTGTAAGTATTTATAAATGTTGGTATCAATTAAGAGAAGATAAATAACTATATGCTGCCATTAATCTTTGTTTAACTTGATTTAGTTGTACGTATCTCACTTGCCATTAATGTTACAGCAAACTAGCCTACTGAGAAGAGCACTAAGAAATATCTAAAGTAAAATTTCTTCTGTATTGGAAGTGATTTCTGGTTCTTAGTTCCTGTTAGACACTATTGTCCAAGGGGAAAAAAAACACCACCCCAAAACCAAGTCTGGAAACATCTGTTCCCTGCTTCAGTTCAAAGTCAAAAATGCTTCCAGTGTCCAAGCAGGGCTAGCCAAAAACCAAATTCCTGAAACTCTCACTTTTGTACCTGCACAAAGCAGTTTCAACCAACCAATTCCCTAAGATTACATTCCCCAATTATTCATGTGACCAAGAATTTAAATGAATCAAAACAACACTTTATCCTCCCCCTTCAGCAAGAATAATGGTACACATGCAGATACTGAGCTTTAGCATAACTTCCTTTATACTACAGAAGGACAAAAGCACAAACTTCAGTAAAAGCAGTAGGAAAAGTAACTGTCTCTCATTGTGCTTAGATAACATCTCTCTGAGTAAAATTTAGAGCAACATTTACTGACCACGGAACAAGTTATATCTTTTTTTTGTTGTTGTTCAGATGCAAAACATAATATTTATCTTTGCTAGAATACTATAATTAATCTAGCATCAAGTACGTAAACAATGCAGTCAAAGACAACAGTGTGAAAAAAAGCTGTCTCATGAGGGAAAGAAAGGAAAAAAAATTGATTCAATACCTTTAGGACTAACAAGTCATGGATGCCATCCTGAAGAGTTGTTCCATCCTCCTTCATTAGTCTTATGTAGGCCATAGCAAAATTCTTTTCTCCTTTATCTTTAGCTGCAAAACAAAATCTTTTCAGCTGACTATCCATCAATGAATTAAAATTTACTACAGTAAAAATTCCCTACTTACATTCCTGAGATGACCTGTGTCTGAACATGAAGCGCAGGTGTATCCTTTGCATGTCTTCAATAGGGACTGCTACCTTTTGTAAAATCGGAAAATAATCAATAGAGGTATGAGGGATGGGGGCAGAAGGTGGTTTCACCTGTAATGAGCTCCTATTTCAGAATAAATAAACACCACTTCTACCGGCTCCATAGTGCCTTTCACAGACCATTTAAAACTATTTGAGCCCAATCACAGTAGCAGAAGTGGTGGCTGGTGAGCAATTATCTGTCAGGCTTTGCTCAAAGTCTAGCACCACCAAAGAAATGAAGCACTGAACTCAGTGAGTTAAAGCACACCAGTGCTTGTGCACCAGAAAATAAGGATACTGCAGTCTTACTACTTACCTGTTAACCATACGGAATTATGCAACATCTCTGCACTACGAAACTTCCACATTTCATATACACAAATTGATGATCAATTTAATATACAGGTGAAAAAGGTATGAAAATTCTAGCAAAATAAATCAAGTATATTTTTGTGATTGAATTTAGTTTCAAAACCTTGAGTAGAATCTCAGGCAGTCGTGCTTTATTCTTAGAGTAGCACACCTACCATTAACAAATACGCAATAAAAAGAGGCCAACTGCCTAAGAAAAGGCACAAATTTTTATATTACCAAGTTTATAGCTCTAAAACTTTGAAGACTTGTACTCCTTTGAGTTCATTCACAACTTCCCTTTACAAGTCTTACTGCATAACACTCCTTCACATTAACTATGCTTTTCAAAAGCATCTACAGTCAATGATTTTGTCTAAAAGTCTGAATTACAGAATAATTTCAAAAATAAACTAATATAATAAGCAATAAACTTAATAGGTCAATGTTTTCAAAACAACAAATAAGCTGCTGCTTTAAGTGACACTTACACTCCCTCCCTGTCCTGCCCAATTTCAGCAACACACCTTAGCACAACAATTGCAGGCTTGTCATCCATGGCAATGTCATCTTCAACAGTCATCTTCACAAAAAATCATGCTTGCTAGCAAGCCTGAGACATGCTTTATAAGAACTACTTCTGGAAACTTCTAGGCATTTTCCAGTCAAAGACATTGAAGCTAGATTAGATAATTATTGGTGTGTGTCTAAAGTAATCCAAGGCAGTTTTTTCTCTCTAAATTTTTTTTGTTGTTTTTTGTTTGTTTGGAGGGGGATGTTTTGTTGGTTGGGTTTTTTTGGTTGGTTTTTTGGTTGTTTTTTGGGGGTTTTGTTTCTTTGTTTGTTTTGGGGTTTTTAAATCATGCAATTGAAGCTCCTCATCTCCATTGTTTCACCACTACAACAAATGCAGTATTTCATTTTTGATGAGCCATGTTAGCACATAAGGTTATCTAAGATGACCTCATTTGTTTTGCTAAACAAAATCTTGACATTTTCTAGGCCAAATTTGAAGCCTCAGTAACCACGTATCTCTAATAACTGATGCATGACTAAGGTTCCATCCTTCTAGCTGTATTCAGGACTAAATTTGTTTTTAGAAAAAAATGATGCTGTGCAACTTTTCTGGCTGAGGTACCGAGACATTAAGACAAAAAAAAGCAAGTGAAAAGTACCTACACCATACCTTTAACGTTTCCATCCAACGCGGCTGTTTGACCTGATAGTAAAGAACTGATCTATATTCACTCACGGGTTTGTCCCCTGCTCCCAAGCAAACGGCGTTCTTACAAAAAGAAGGAAAGAAATAGTGCTTAGTGGCTCATTAATTCCTGTAAATTTTTACAACTTGAGCAAAACCCAAGAGACAAGGCACCGAACGAAAGCCTCCCCGGGCGTGCGGGCAGCAGCTTTACCTCAGCGC